TATCCCAACGGGAATAAACATAGACTTCAGTAGGAATTCATTTTAATTTTAAGACTGCAGTAAATTAAATATGTTTTTTTTTCTTTCTTCCAACTAACCTTTTACTCTTGCACCCTACTACAGCCGATCTCCTCGGCATGAGAAGAAGAAGAAAATCCGCAAGTATTGGGATGTCCCTCCTCCAGGTTTTGAGCACATTACACCCATGCAGTATAAAGCCATGCAGGGTAGGCTCTTCTTTGTTTAGGTCATCTTGATTCACTCAGTTTTACAACAGGGCTAGGCAACTTGAATAATTTTAAAAAATCTCCTAAAGTGAGCAGTTGTGATCTCTCTGTCCTTTCCATGGCAGTTTGAACCATGAGCAGGTCAGTAATAGAGAGTATAAATGGGCCTACTCACCAGTTGGTTCATTGCACATGCACCTGGGCTTCCCCTTGTGTCTCATCTATGTTGCCTCAAAACATGTCTCACCAGTCTCTGTAAGGCTTGCTGTTGAGTTAACATCCATGAATTTGACTATCAATATATTGTAATTTTCATTGGTGGGTACAGATTTTCCATCTCACATTCTTTTTACTAGTCTTTGGATTTTTGTGTCTTGAGTCACAATAATTATAGTTATGGCCCTTCCATCATATTACAAACCATACATAAAAATACCATAATGAGAATTTAAAATGGGGTAATAATTTATTACATTGAAAAGCTGCTGGCTATCAGCAACTCTGTATGGTTTGTAAATTGTTAAAAAGATTTTAAAACTAGAAATACTGAAACAGTATAAAACAGAAGAACAGAGATGGTAAACAAAATAAATCTGGATGGGAAAAAGGGAAAGGACATCAGTTGTCCTTGGCTGGGTGAACGATCATGTCTAATAGATCATTTCTGAAATGTACCTATGTGCCACAAGAGTGCATAAGAGCTAAAATGGTATGTCAAACCGTAAACTATTAAATGTCAGTTGAAGGCATATCTGCTACCTCTGCAGGTCATAGCCATAACATTGTTTGTGATTTAAGAATAAGCACATTTTTAACCACTACTTCTGTAATTTTATTAATCACAGAGTATGGCTTAGAGGTGGTTCTGTGGTTTATGTGACAAAACATTTAGGTTTTACTAATCCTAGACGAAATCCATATTTAATTTTGGCTGCTGTTTTTTCAGCAGCAGAGCTGTGTAATGTTAATCTTAAACCACACACTGGCAGTTTTGTAGCTATGTTGCTTAGAAGGAAGAGGCAGTGAGCATGAGTGAACAAGTTTGATATAATGGTTAGGGTGCTGGTCTGGAAATAGGAAATTCTTTGAGTTTTTAGTCCTACCTAAGGCATGAAAGCTGGCTGGGTGATTTTGGATCATTCACTCTCATCCCAACTCACCTCACAGAGTTGTTGGGAAAATAGGAGGAAGAAATATTTTTGGACTATAAGACGCACCAAGATTTTGAAGAGGTGAATTTTAAAAAAAGTTTTTGCCATCCACAGCCCCCAGGAGCACTCTGCAGGCCTCCCAAACCCTTTGCATGCCTTGTTAGTTGCGATAAACAGAGCCATTTTTTGCTTGTTCTTCCCCTCACCAGTCACCAGGAGCATTGTACAGGCCTCACAAAGCCTCTGTGTCTCCATTTTTGCGAAAAATGGGATGTGTGTATTGGGGTTTCAGGTGGCCAAAAATGCTATATTCAGTGTATAAGACGCACCCAGATTTTCACCCTTTTTGGTGGGGGGGAAAGGTTATACTCTGAAAAATATGGTATGTTGGCTGCCTTCAGTTTCTTATAAAGATATAAAGATAAAAATCAAGTAAATAAATAAACACATGGTTTTAAAGGCAGAAATGCTGCTAAAATGGCTCAGCCTAGGAGTTCCCCAATTTGACCTTATAACATCCATGTTGTGATCAGAAAGTTCTGTTTCAACTTGGGAACGTTTTTCCTATATCATTTTGGGCTGATGGGTTACTGTGCATAATAGAAAAAGATAGCTGTGATCTTTGCTGATGAATAGCTAGTTATTCTTTACTGATGAAATAACAAAATTAACACTTACCTTTTTTGAAAAGTATTTGGATTGCTAGTTCTCTTCTTCACCATTCCATATACGTTTTAATAACACCTTAATTCTCATTGTTGCTACAGATTGTTTAAGGCTCTTCAAAATGTTCTTACTCCAGGATAAGCTATTCTGAATGTCTATTTTAAGCCACTTCTGTAACACAAAATGGGCTGTTTGGGATTGGCATGTTTCATAATGGAATATTTTGCATATCCTGAATCCTGTGTATTTATATCAAGACTTTCCCAATATATAATGTTTTTATCAGGAGAATCAGAGCTGATAACTTTCAGTATTTTTTTTTTTCATTTCTAGCTGCGGGACAAATTCCAGCTACAGCCCTACTACCAACCATGACTCCAGATGGGCTGGCAGTAACACCTACACCTGTGCCTGTAGTCGGCAGCCAAATGACGCGACAAGCTCGACGTCTCTATGTTGGCAATATCCCTTTTGGAATCACTGAGGTACTTGTTAGCTTACTCTGTTATCTCTGCTCAGCCTTGAAACTTTTGGCTGCAAAAGTGCTCAATTTCAGTGACACTACCAGAAAAGCATCCTGGTTTAATATTTGTTTCTTCTTTTTTATTTTTAAAGAGATGGGGTATGAATGGAAATGGGAATGCCTCACTATAGAGGAATTCCACCACTTCCAGTCTTATTTTGCCATTTTTGGATCAAAACTACATATTTGACATTTTGCCGTTGAATTTGAGGATTGCAAAGGGAATACTGGAAGTTTAAGTTGGGAGAGCCAACTGAACCTCGTTAAAAATAAAAAAGAAGAAACAAATACTAAACCAGGCTGCTTTTTCTGGTGGTGTCATTGAAACGGAGCACTTGTTGCAGTCAAAAGTTTCAAGGCTGAGCAGAGGTAGCAGAATGAGCTAACAAGTACATCAGGGATTCCAAAAG